CAGAGATATGCTTCCTGCTGTTACTCTGCCACGGCAACCATTTTAACATAATGGGACAAAATTTCTTTGATGATTATTTTGTTAAATTGAAAAACATAATTAACATTTCGAAGGATGAAAGTTGCCAATTTCTCTTGAACGCTAAGCAAGTCTGTAATTCAACAGCAACTGTCATTTATAAAATCAAACTATAGTTTTGTTCAGAAAACTATTACCCGATTAGGATCGCTGAAATTATCATTGTTAGATAGTATATTGTTAATTAAAGAATATTAACGATGAATAAGAATATGAGGAGATTTTATAAAAAATTTAAAGCAACCATAAAAAAACAGTGGTTACCAGGTTCTGAAGTAGTTCAAGTAATAGGTGGGACATTTTCAGAACCATTTAATTTAGAAAAAATATTATCGTAAATACCCCAACGTGCTTATAGTCCAACAATTAACAGAAAAAAAGCCATCTAGCCTTCATCGACTTAGAAAAGGCGTATGATATAGTTCAAAGACTTAATAGATAATAGATATATAATAGATAATAGATAGATAATAGAAGTCCTTCATGCTGAAAGCATCTAGCACCCTGAACAAAATCTATTTTGGTTGTGTTAAATTCGGTTGATAAAGAACCTGAAATTTGATGTGTCAGTGTGCTACTAAGTTGTTGACCAAGAGAGGGAAGCCATGGTTGATTAGGATTTTTTTTTGTAATGGGGGAAATAATGAATTCTTATATATTGTTAGATTATGTTTAAATGGTTATTGAGTTTAAAACTAACGAGTGCCTGATTGATATATGAAATGATCAAGAAATAAAGAAAGAAAGAAGAATGGACAGGAATATGATGTAGACGTGAAGAGTGGAGAAAATGATGAAATAGTGTGGTATGATGGGTGTTGGATGGTTATGAAGTTAACAATAGGGTCGGAAAAAAATTGGGAGGGGGGGGAGTGTGACGATAGTGTAAAGAGAATGATTCTTTAAAGAAAACACAATTATTGTATAGGATTTAAGGTGTTGATGTTTGTGTAGGAAGGTCGGACAAAGAAGGTGGGGTAAATTTGAGAAGTGTGGACTATGAAAAGAGTTGTCGATGTAAGGGTTGAAAGTCACGGTTAAAAGATACATGGCGATTAACGCAGTTGGGGCTTCTTTGCTTTTCTTCCACAATATCCCTCAAAAATTTTTCTAAAATTAGATCTATATGAAGACTTGGAAATAGTCAAAAATCATTTACAAAGATCTAACCTCTTTTTTGTGATACGTGGTATACAGCCAGCTACAGGAATTATTTTCCTTGTGGATTTAATATAAACTTAGTTTTTATAATAGATAAATGTTAATTATTATAACATGAAGATATTGTATTTTTGTAAATAAAACGGATACTACTTTCTGAGTTGTTGATAAACATGATATTTTCTAGATAAACATGCATATTTTTATGTAAAATACTGCACATTTATGCGCAAATTTTATTTGCATATTTGCTTAAGTCTAATTATTACCATACACCCCATTTTAAATTATTATATTATGAAAAAAGCAATAGGAAGACGACAAAAGAATTTCCGGCGTATATAGATAATTGCCAGATAAAAGACACATTAAAAAAAAATAAAACATCATGATTGGAAATAAAAATAAATATAAGTTATTATGAACTTTTTATTCCGCAAAGCCAATATTAAGTAAAACAAATGCTGTGCTGACGATCGCGCTGAAATGACATCAATACGAGAATCTAATTTCCATAATTACCGATATACATAATCTTCCTGTGTAACAAAGACCCATTTAATAAATTATCTTCCTTCACGGCACATAGTGTGGCGGGTAGCGCGTGTGTGTGAATTTACAAAGCAATTTAACACAAAGCCCAAACACCAACACTTACGTTTGTGCATTTAGGAGCATAGCATTAGAGATGAGTTGGTTTTGAACGAATAACTCAATATCAACTATACCGCAATGGGAATCGATTCACACTTTACGATTTACAAATATGTTTTTGTTCTCAACGGATACAGTTCCAAGAAAAGTTTCGTTCGTTACACGTAGGTAAATGGGTACTAAGTGATGACACTTCTTAGTACACGGAACAAAAAACAAGTAAAAAAAATCTACTGGAAAAAAGCTACTGGAAATAAAATTACGACACTATAAATATAGAACATAGTAGGGTAACCAAACGTGGACAGAGAAATACAAAAGGATGTACTCAACATGATCTAGGAAAAACAGTTAATTGCTACTAAATGTAAAATAAATTCATACCCTTTAGATTTGAGACGATTAGCAAATGAATCAATGTTAATTTAGTTGCATAGATTTATATTAGTATTCTAAAATGATAAAGAGATTAAAAACTGATTCCGGGCGAGGACTGAACACAAATGAAATGAATCAATAAAAGGAACGACTTGGTCCAGTTCTAGTAGAGATGGCTTGCGAATCTAAACATGCTCATTCACTGCTATCGATGCATAATTGATTAATACTGAATTGCACATAACCATCCATCTACGGCGAAAATGGTAATTTGATCGGTATATTTCGAATTAGATTGATTGTCCGTGAATTACATTGGACCTTTAGAAATTTTCAAGGATTATGTTGATAAATTGGTCTTAATTTGTACCAGAAGCCAATTAATCAATTTATATTATTGTCCAAACAAATAAATATGTCTTTACCTTCATGCAAGAACTATCTTGAAATATATTCAAATTTGACAATGATATTAAAAAAAATCTATTCGTTGTGAATAAAATTGTGGGTTTTCTAGTTATTCGTAGTATTATACCCAGTTTTCAAAAATTATAATGAAAACTGAAAATTTTTAAGATAAGATCTGTTTTTTTCTAAAAAAATCTTAAAAATCTCCCTAACTTATAGAGAATAAAGAAAAATATTAATAGAAAGCTGGAGAAAATTGAAATGGACGTCTTTAGGAGGTCAGTTCAGAAAAATTCGATCAAAGCATATAGAAAAATCACTTAAATACCATTCAGATCTGGTTAAGAAAATGGGGAATTAAGGTTAATGAAACTACACGTCTGACACGTCCACCTATACAACTAAAAAATCAAGATATACCGCAAACCGATACCTTGGTATTCATCTTAATAGACGACTTGTTTGGAGAAACCACATCTCCAATAAACTAAAATAATTCGAACTAAAATTAAGACAAGTTTACTGGCTACTTGGAAGAAGATCTAAACTATCAATAATTAAATTATTATCTATATATTATCTAAATCCAATAATGAAATCATGCAGAGGGTACAATTGAAGGTCCATAGGCAGATTGTTAATGCACCATTACTACCAGTCATACATCGTGATATCTCAGTAAGTATTTTGCGCGAAGAAATAAAAAAAGTGTAGTAATAGGCATTTAAAGCGATAAGAAATTCACAAAAAATCCTAGTGCAGCAAATCTATTGGACAACAGCAAAGAAGTTAGAAGACTTAGAAGACACAAACCCTTGGATTTACCAGATAGATTTTCACAAGTAAATTGTTTACAATATAATAAAAAAATCATGTTTTAATATTAATTTTAGTTAAATTTAATAAGGAAGGTACCAGCACTGACAGGCATTCTTCGCTCATGTTAAGTTCTCTGTTTAAATTATCAAATTTGATTATTGTCCCAACAGGACAGATTGAAAATCTTTCCTTGGAAAATAAAAAAATCAAAGAAAACTTTTCCAAGGTTAGTTTTGTTAAATTTATCAACTGATTGGGTACTCCTTGCTCTCTTTCATTGCTTTGAACTTTTCTTTTCTATTCCAGTAGGCTGCCTTAAAGTCTACAAATATCTGGTAAGCATTTATGCCATATTCCAGTGTTTTTTCTAAAAGTTGCTTCAGGGTTGCAATTTGATGAATTGTCGATTTGACACCTCTGAAACCAATCTGCTATTTTAGTATTATTTGCTATGCATATGGTGCCATAAAGAAGCGCAAAGAAGAATAGAGCGATCAATGATTGGGGCCACTCTCCGACTCAGGATTAGAAACGAAGATCTACGAGCTAAGACCAAAGTCATAGACGTCATAGAAAGAAGCTGTAACTTAAAATAGAAATGGGCTGGACACATCGCCAGAATTAAGGATGGACGATGGACCCGCAAACTAGTTGAATGGAGACCAAGAGCCGATAAAAGTAGCAGAGGAAGACCACCAACAAGATGGCAAGACGACTTACGAAAGACAACAAAAAAACTGGATACCGCAAGCACAAGATAGAACACTTTGGAGACAAATAGGCAGGCCTATGTCCAGCAGTGGATTGAGAGAGGCTGATGATGATGATATGGTGCCATAAGATGGCATAGTATAGTGGTGTAAAGTATTTCAATAGTCCAATTACTGGGGAGGAATTTCTGAGTTTATATTTCCTTTATGAGCTACTGTAGTGCCATTATGGTTTTGTGGCCATTCTTGAAGAAACGAGGAGTATCGAGACGAGTATGCCAGCATTTTCGTCAACATCCACTAATTCGATAGGGCACTATAAGAAGAAGAATACCATTCTTGATTATTAGGTTTACTCGTAATTACTTACAGAATCGTTTTAAATAATTATATTTGCAGAATCCTTTGTTTAAATCACTATGGTGCATATTTTAAAATTTGGCCTTACATACATTAATAGATATATTTTTATACACACGTTTGCGAAATAAGAATATTTGCTTTAGCAATATTAAATTGTTTAATAATATATTATACTGACCTATAATCCCAGATTATATGTATATTATATCTGTATTAATTTAATATAATTATGATCTATTTAATTACATGACCGATCTCAAAATAATTCACCAAGATGATAATAACTCTTCTGAAAACAGACATTTATGGGTTGTAAGTTTATATTAGATCCTTACAAAATCCAACACAGACCCACCCCTGTTTATGCTAGTCAATTCTCCAAAGACGAAGCACGCAAATACCAAAATCGAATAAAGAATCGCCACTTACCTTCCAATTGGCGCACGGAATTAACAAAGCCATCACGAATACACCTAGAAGAGGTCCAGAAGTAGCCGAAGTGACCAACATAGAGGATTCAATAACGCCATCTAAGAGACCCACTCCAAAGCTGATTCCCATGATGACAAGTCCGTAGACGACTCCTATGAATTTGATGGACCAAAGTTGTCGAGAGTCCTTCATGTCTTTGAATAAAGGACGGACGAAGTCTTCGAAGGTCACTGTCGCAAGGGAATTTAAGTTGGAGACATTCAAGCTAGAAAACACATTTCAGATCAATAACAAACAAATAAAGTAGTGCATCGAAGTTTTTTATATTAAATGGAAAATCATACAATTTCTTACTAAATCGGCACGAATTAGGAAATAAATTTTGTATTCGTTGAAATTTTTGATTCGTAAATAATTTCAATATAATTTTTCATAAATAATTCAATTTCAAATATTTTTATTAGTCTTTAATCCTCTTTATTTACAATATTTTTTTAAAAATTCATAAAAAAAATATTTGATGGTTTGAAATTAAAGCTCGAATTATAGTCAAAATTATTTGTCTATTTTAGGTGTTTTTGCACGTTTTGACTTTTTTTGTGAATTTTTAACTAAAACTAAAAAATGAACATGGACTTCATTTCTCAGATACCTCAAATCCAAACTGTATTAACTCCATTATGTTTTACTAGACAATAAAAAGACTGCTCCATACTCCTTACATTTTAAAATTTTTATCAATCATGAAAATTATTTAGCTTTAATAAGAACTTTAGTGTAAATTTGACAAAAGAAGAATTGTTGTACCTAACAATACTTAGAACAAAATCACCCAAAATCACAAATAAAAGTACCTACTGTTAAAAAATTGTATGACTTAGAGACTACATCTCATTTTTAGTCAGTAAAACAATCCTTGCAGATTTCTTTCGTGTGGCTTTTGTATGCAAACGCTCCGCACTTCGCACAAGACTTTCTAGAAGATTTTTGTTCAAATTTCGAGGACAAACAAGGCAACGCCCGACATAATTCTTTGGTCGCGCAGGGGGTTGAGGGGGATTATTTTCTATGTCCAGCAGAGATGGAGCTCGCTTCCTCATTTCTCTGGGCAACCGAAGAATTGTTGATCTAACTTTAATTTGTGGTTGGATTAATTCCCAAGCATACTTTTCTAGAAAGTCACTGCGTTTTATTTTCATGGGCAACAGTCGTTAGACAAAGAATGAAGCAAAATATACCAAATATTTATGGTTGCTTCTTTTGACTTGAAAAAATATCTACCAACCCCATACCTACGGAACGGTGTTTCGTTTTATAAAAGGAAACTATGGACCTAAAACTTAACAGTGTTTGAGACTACTATAGCAGGCAATGTGGGAATTTGTTTCCTATGGAACAAGACAGTGGCTGATCGTGGTAGGCAAGAAATAGCTTCATGTATAAGAATATTTATTTTGTCGCTACCAATAGAAGTAGAAATGCTTCAAATGTACAGTGATTCTTGTTCTGGCGAAAACAGAAACATTTTTGTGTCCACAATGATATTGTTAGTGATGCGCGAGATGAAGAAAATAGGGAAAAGTTCGAAAGAGGTACATCATAAATTTATGGAACCTGGCCACACCTATATAGGGAGCGACACAATTCATGCGACCATAGCGACAGCTAAGAAAAAGACAACATCTGAAATAATTGAAGTTTCACATGATTGGAGTAATTGAGTAATGATGGTAATGAGAGTAATGATGAGGAAGCTGTATAGTGGATGCAAATAAGGTGTTTAAAATACACACAAGAACAAGAGTTCCAATGCTTTTACAAAAAAAAAGTTTTGCAAATGATGAAGCTTTAAAAAAAATTGATTTAAGGAGCGGTTCTACTAGAAATCGCAAAATCGAAATGGAAATTGAGCAACCAGAACCCATTAATTCAGAATCTTTGCCTCTAGCCGACATTAAACTAAAAAAATTGTTGGATTTACTAACTTTCATTAGTTAATACAACAGGCAATTTTATCAAAATCTTCAAAAATCAAATGACATCGATGCTGACACTATTTCAGTTTCAGACTCCAACAACGAATATAGGGTGTAATTTAATTTTTTTGTATTTTGTATGTATGTCGTCAAAACTTGCGGCAATGGTTCGGATTGTCATCTGCTGAACTATTCAGATCTGCCGTAAACAAAGTCGGAATAACTATGTTGATTGCTAACGTTCGAAACGGACAAGGAACATGAAGAAGAATAATAAAATAGTATTCAGTGCAATGGAGCTTGGCATTACGTTAATACAAATAAAAAAAACCACCACAATATTTCATAAACTGATTAGATATTTCAATAAACAACATACTGCAAATCTGTTAACACAATTTTCTTCAAACAGCAAAAATGAACATTAGCCCTTTTTTTTATTAAGGTACAGATATATGATCCTTTTTTTCTCAAATTGTCAATGCAATATTTCCTGACATGACCAGAATACAATACTTCAGAAATGAAAACAGAATCTGAAAAAAAACTAGACATTTTTCATTTTTAAATAACTAAACAACAGAGCTACAAATAGCTTTTTTATTGAGAAAAAAGACATAGTGCAGATTACCCGAAGAACCACCTAAATGTGTAGTTTAATATGGATCTATGTTTTGTGCAGTATTTTTTTCGTGTGTTAACCTCGAATAGAACTAACATATATTTTTTAGTTTTCATAACTCCTTAGGTATTATGTTGGGGTTTTAATTTTAATTTAATCTAATTGTAGACTTGTACAAATTATTTAATCTGTATATTCCCTCAATAAATATTATTTTAGTCATATCACGTCGTATATAGATGTATCGACCCCAAAGTAAAGCATACTTCTCGTGCACAGGAACAATAGAGAAAAATATACCCTCGTATATTACCGACATAAAGCAAAAATGATTTGTAGCTTCCCGAAAATTATTACAAATTTTTCTTTTTCATTTCGCCACCCCATCGTTACATTTTGCATGACAAATGAGACGTTTCCACACGGTATTTCCAGTAAAAAAAACGTACAACGACAATACAACATAATTGCTTATATATCACTCACCTGAGAGCCCCATTGAAAAGACTGGCCATAAACAACCCCAGTATGCCAGGAAAATAACTGAATCGGTCTTCGACGAAAAATGGAAGGACCTCGTCATATTTGTCGATGTATCCAGATGAAAGGGGATCACAGCTGGCGTAGACTGCGTAAACCACCATCCCTACCACCCAGGATAAACTGAATAATACGGTGATTACTGGAATGTTCCACATCATGGTTCTGAATAAGAGAAAAACAAGGCATTAGATTCAATTTATTTTGCATTGCGGCTATGGAAATTATGCGGAAGAACCTAATATTAGGTTTGGCGCAGAATCTTAATTTTAAGATTTTTTGTTATGGCGTAGTTACATAAATTAATTTAAATTATTCTCTTATATAAAGTGCAAAATAACTATTTAATTTATTTCTGTTTATAAATTAGTCTAAAGTTTTTCAGATTTTACTAAAACGCAGATAAGACGCAGATAAAAAAGATTTACTGAAAATATAGATAAAAACCCCCTCAATTACGAACTGCAATTACAATGTATTTATTAATATATCTAAATTGTAAATTAAAAGGAAAAGAAACAGGTGGAATAAATAAATGGGAAACCGGAATGGATCGGAAGAACATTCGATATGAATAATTAATTATATATATATATATATATATATATATATATATATATATATAATATATATATATTATATATATAATATATATATATATATATGTATACAAGGATTTCCACAGTTTTCACTGTATTTCTTCACTCAACCGTTTTCTCCAATTTTTTCTGGTTAGCCAGTCCCCTTTTTGTAGGTTTCTTCTTCTCATTGCTTCGTCCACTTCATCTCTGAAAGATCTTCAGGATCTGTCTATATATAGTCTTCTCTTAAGAAGCTAAAACCAAGTATTGACAAGTAGCATATTCTTTTCTTGGCAGAATTCTATGAGCCTTTCTCCTCTCTCGTTTCTAGTTTCTAATCTGAACTGTCCAACTATATTTTCAACTGTACCTTCTCCAGTTTTTGCATTAAAGTCTCCTAAAATGTTAGTAATATCTCTGGATACTATTAACTTGATTGCATTGTGCATTTCTGAATAAAACTTTTCGATCTCATCTCCGCTCTTATGAGCTGTAGGAGCATAAACTGATATCATATTAATATTACACTTATGTGTTTGAATTTTTAGCAGTATTATTCTTGATGAAATTTAAATCACATCTAGCTCTAATTCTCTTTACTGAAGTTTCTTTACTAATGGGATTTATTTATCCCACCATTCAACACTAATGGGACATAAATGTCCCATGTGCTTTTTAAGGATATGAAGACACGCAATAATGTAAAAAATCAATCGCTTTGTTAGGTCTCTGGGTATCAACGGATATTATTTGTTGCAGCTGAGATTTAAAAGTAATCATAAACCAAGTTTACCTATTATCTGGAATACAAAGTTCCACTATATAAATTTTATGAGCACTTCGCTGTTGATCCAAGATGCTGTTACAGTCATTCATTACAGCTTTAATAATGAACACTTTTATTTTCGCTACAAAGTAAATTCCATAGAAACTTTTATAATACTTCGTGAAAGTTTACAGCGAAAAGGTTTGATCGATTTTGATATCGTTCGGAAAAATAATTTCGTAAATATTTATGCTCTTATGTCATTTTCAAACATTTCTTTACCGAGTTTTATATTTAGCAATGCATAACAAACTCTTAATTTTTGTTTTCAAAAGAAATCTCTTTAATATACTTTTAAACTTTGGTATATAAACGTATTTATTTCAAAATATCAAACAAAAGGTGCCAAGTCGATTTGATTAACGTTTAAATTTGTGTTCTTTTGAAATATTTTAATAATGGCTTTTAATTTTTTAAAACTAATTTATATGAAAAGAGATTAAAATGATTGTGAAATTTTTCTCATAATAAAATTGAGCCCTCAAAAGAAATTAAGAATTATTTTAAGAAATACATTGTAATTGGATTTAAAAATTGACTGGTTTTGGCATGTATAAATAAAAAAAGTTTATATTTGTTTTGCCAGGGGATAATGTTTTTGTCCTATGCATTCTTCAACCAGTATGCTACTGATTGAAGAATGTAAGAGACTGGACAGGTATGGACACACATTCAATACTAAGAACAGCTCAAGATAGAGAGCAATTTCCTGTAGTTGTAGCCAAGTTCAGTAATGGAGCAGGCACCTTAAGAAAAAGATTTCTGCTATTTCTTATATTTGTAAATAAATCTCAAAAATATAAAAACTAAAACAAAAAATTACACAAGAAAATAGTTTTAAAACCATAATAGGATAAATTAAATAATAATGAATGGCCTTTCAACCAGCTGCAGCGGCCAAACAACTTATATAGTGAAAATATTTTAATATTTTATCTACAAAGCTCAATTTCTTACCTTGTTACTTGTTTTTGTGAGTCCATACTGCAATACCGTTGAACAAAATTTTGTTGACAACCAAAAATTGATAGAGACATAAAAAGTTGACCAATAATTGCTGACGTAGTGGTTACTCTTGCAGTTAAATCCATATTGAAACTGAAAAACAATTTTTTACCATAAGAAATTATTTTTATGAAATTAAATGCCATCGTTTAAAGTTAATACCGCTGAAATAAACTGATTATGATCTTCAGTTTTCGATTGGTGTACATACCCATCTGTCACTCACACCTTATCTAAATAATCAGATATTGACGGTACGAGAGACCTTATTTACTAGTTTAGAGGAGTCATGAATAATATAGATAGTTTAAATCAAAGAGACATTACTAAACAGTAGCTTTATATTTCTTGCTTTGTCAGATCTATTAAGGACAATACTACAAATAAAAAAAAACAGCGACGTTATGGAATGTCATAACTGACATCCAATGGAAGAACAAACACCTAAGACAAGCCACAAAAACAGGAATCTATAATGCAGCAATTAGACCTATATTAATATACACGGCAAAGACAAGACCTGACACATCTAAAACAAGACGACTACTAGAAACAACAGAGATGAAAATACTTCTACGAATATGAGGAAAAAGTCTGTTGGATAGGAAGAGAAGCGAAAACATAACAAGATCATGCAATATAGAAGACATAAATAAAAACGGACAACAGTAGTGGAATGAACACATTAGTAGAATGACAGAGGATAGGATAGTACGAATAGCACAAGATAAGTCACCAAATGGACGAAAAACTATTGGCAGATCAAGAGAAAGATGGTGCGATAATTTAACCAATGGCTAAGCTATTCTTCTTCCATACTAGCAAGCTTCTTCTTCCATACTAGCAAGGCTAGTATGGAAGAAGATACAAGGCTTTAAAGCCTACATACAAGATGAAAGAAGCAGAAGAAGAGCATTGATCGGTAAAGCTAGATTCACCTTTAATCGGCTGGAGGCCTTCTTTAAGAGCCACGACCTCTCTTTTAGTATAAAAGTAAGAATGGTGCGATGCTACGTTTTATCTGTCTTTTTTATGGTTTTGGATCTCAATGAATATGAATCTTAGATCTTGAACAAAAATGGGTGCAGAAGATTGGAAGAATCAGATATGCCCTACTACAAGCCTTCTTGCAAGGACAAATATTTGAAAAGCCAGGTCAGGAAGAAGAAAAACATCTCGGTAAAATAACCTCAGAACCTGGTTCAACACATCTGTAAAGCTTTTCTGCGCTGCTGCAGTGAGCATAAAGATTGCCAGGATAATCGCCAGCATTTCGCACGGTTAGACACATCAAGAAGAAGAAGATGAAAAAATAGCGAACTTTATCAACATAGAAAACATAAAAGATCGAGGAACATAAGGACAGAAGCTAAGGTCAGTACTATCAGAGCTGAAAAGCGAAGAATATAAATATCATAAAACGACAAAAAAACAACCAACCATCCAAGGCAAATATATAGGGACTGCTCTCAAAAGATAGAGAAATAAAGAACAAGAAAGACAACAAGAAGCATGGGAAGACCTCAAAAGATATGGGTAGATGACATAAGAGCAGTGGCAGGCAAACAGTGGATTAGATTGGCGCAAGATAGAGGATAAGCTACATTCAGGAGTGAATGGAAAATGGTTGATAAAGACAGGTAATTTTTACTGCTAGGTTATTATTGCCAATCATAACCATAGACATTTAATATAAACGGACTGACCGTTCCTCCAGAGCGACAGAAAATACTGACGCAAACCAGTCCCTATATTTTTTTTCTAATGGGCCGTGTTTATCGACCACGTGACCTTTCCATTGGTCAGTTAGGTCACGTGGTAAAAATAACAATATTCATATATTTAGTTTTTTATATATCGTAAAAGCTAATAAATAATAGTGAAGATTGACAATATGTGATTCGAAATAATTTGGAGCATTCTATGGTATTACCAAAAAAGGAGAACATAACCAACATTAAATAAAACTTGTATATAGGAAAATTTAACATTTTCATACTCTAAAGACCTCGTCATATTTTAAATTAATGTCCCCGGTCATTAGTCATATACCAACATTTCCTATCCAATGTTGGCCTGTTTACTAAATATGTTCTGACACTTTCAGTATCGCTTAAATATATATAAAATGAAGATTATCTGGTCGCGAAAGACTTATCTGGGTACATAAATCTCGAAATAATTAAACTTCCAACCAACACGTTAAATTATGAAACGTAAAAAGTTTTTGTTGACGGCCTGTTGGCAGTTAACCTACAAGGGACCTTTTTACATTAGAACAGGACCGACCTTTTCGAAATTGGGTTTTTTTCGCTAATGTTAAGTAATAAAAACATTTTTTTATTACTTTTTTTAAGTGTTTCAAGTGTGTCAAAGTATGTTTTCTCTGTAAACAGCAAAAATTAAAGCATTAAAAGATGCATTTCATACCATGCTCAATTTATCCATTAATCAAAATCATTAATTTAAAACTATAGACAAAGCTTAAGTTTGGATTTTACTCCCCTAGTTCATATCGCTTCGATTGACAGAGTATCTTGAACGTGTACTATTACTAAGGATTTCCACAGTTTTCACTGTCTTCCTTCACTCAACCGTTTTCTCCAATTTTCCATGTCATTCCAGTCTCCATCTCGCAGGGTTCTTTTCTCCATAGCCTCGTCGATTTCGTCTCTGAATGACCTTCGGGGTCTTCCTCTCTTTCTTCTTCCGATCGGGCTCCATTCTGTAATTTTGTTTATCCAGCGTCCTCTGTCCGCTCTTCTGACGTGACCGTACCAGGATAGTCTCTTCTCCTCTATATAGTCTATTATGTCTGATTGCACTCCCATTCTCCACTTAATCTCTGCCTTTTTAATTCTGTCTCTTTTGCAAGTCTACAGCTTCTCCTCAGGAACTCCATTTCTACTGCTCTTATTCTACCTCTATTTCTCTTGTTTATTGTCCAGTTTTCGGACCCATATGTCAGGACACTTCTTGTCTGGTATTATATATTCTCTTTTTTGTCTTTATCGTTATGTTCTTATCCCACAGCACTGAATTTAGTTGTCTTATACAGTTTCTTGTTTGTCTTAGTCTGTTGTTTATATCTTCTTCTGTTGTTCCCTGGTTCGATATTATGGTTCCTAAGTACTTAAATTTATCTGTTCCATTTACTTGTCTTCCCTCGTCTATCTCTAGGTTTCTCATATCCTTGTTTTCTGTTGTTAGGTATTCGACTTTCTCTAAGTTTATTTCCATTCCGTTGTTTTTATATTCTCTTCTAGTTTTCTGAGCATAAAGCTGAAATCTTCTTCATCTTGTGCGATGACTACTTGATCGTCTGCAAAACTTAAGGTGTATAGGTATTCGTCTCTTACTGGTATGCCCATTCCTTCGCACTTTCTCCTCCATGGTTTGAGTGTCTTTTCCAAGAATATTTTAAACAGAGTAGGGGACGTAGCACAGCCTTGTAGAAGTACTTTTGTCGTCTTAAATGGATTGTAGGCTTTATTTCCACATTTAATAGCTACTTTGTTTTCTTTGTACAGTGCTTTAACTGCTTTTATTAGTGTTTGTCGGATTCCGAGATCATTCATTGCTTCCCATAATTTGACTCTAGGTATTGAGTCGTATGCTTTCTTTAGATAAACAAACGCTAGATGGACCGGTCTACCTTTTGCCATTTTCTTCTCTATCAGTTGTTCTAATGTGTACGTATGATCTAGGCATGATTTTCCTACTGTGAACCCTGCTTGGTCTTCTCCAATTTTTCCTATTATTTCAGTTTCTAGTTTTTCCTTGATAATTTTACCGTAAAGTCTACCTACGGACGATATTATACTAATTCCTCTGTTGTTTTCACATTTTTTCCTGTTTCCTTTCTTATGTATGGATGTGATGTATGCTTGTGTCCATTCCGCAGGTATTTTCTCTCCATTTAGTCCTCTTTCGAACATTCTGTGTAGCATGCGGAATAACTTTTTCGTTCCGTTTTTAATTAGTTCGTTTGGTATCCCTCCGGGTCGGTAGGTTGAAATTGGGGACGGTTTTCTGTAAGTAGTTCTACGTAGTATTCTTGCCACTCGTTGTCACTAATTTTGCCGATCTGGGTTTTCTCTGTCTTATTTCGTTGGAGTGCTTTTAATATTCGCCATGATTCTGAATTTCTCGTTCCTCCGATATGTCGTTCTATCTATGTGCATGCTTGTTCTCATCGTTCGTTTTTTTCATTTGTTACTCTTTTCTTTACCTCTCTGTTTTTCGCTCTATATAGGTCTAAGTCTTCCTGTTTTTTGGTGTTCAGGTATTTTATGTATAGTTTTTTCTTTTCTTTTATACATTTCAATGTGTCTTCCCTTAATTTGATATTCTGATGGGTGTTCCTTTGGTCGTGTTCTCCAAGAGCTTCTAAGGCCGCTGAAATCAGGCAGGTTTTTATGTGTTCATGCATTTCATCTAACGTGTCATATCTGAATTCTTCTAGTTTTCGGTCTAGTCTTCTTTTGCAATCACTATTTGATCGTCTGCAAAGCTTAAGGTATAAAGGTATTCGTTCCGTACCGGTACTCCTATGCCTTCGCATTTTCTTTTCCATGTAGTCAAGCCTTTCTCTAAATATATTTTGAATAGGATTGGAGATGTGGAACAGCCCTGCAAAAGCCTTTTTGTTGTGGTGAAAGCCTCCTATGATTTTTGTTCCCACTTTAGTGGATACTTTATTTTCTTTATACAGAGCTTTTGTAGCTTCTATGAGTTCCGTCTGTATTTCTAATTTGTACATTGTCTCCCATAGTTCTGACCTTGGTACAGAGTCATACGCCTTTCTCAGGTCCACAAATGCCAAATGTATATCTCTATTTTTTGCTTTTTTCTTTTACAACAGTGGTTCCAGTGTGTATATGTGGTCTATGCCTGATCTTCCTGTCCGTGAAGCCTGCCTGATTCTCCCCGATTTTGTCTTTTATCTCTTGCTCTATCTTTTCTCGCAGTATCTTTCCATATAATCGTCTCAGATCTACTTACTCGACCTTTAAAATGAATGATCGAAGTAGTCACCGTTCCAATAGATTGATTGTAAATAAACCTTTAAAACACGCATAATGTG